AGACTTGGACGTCTGTATAGACAGGCAGTGACGAGGAAATCGTGTGGTAGGGTTTAGAGCCAATGAGAAGGCAGAACAGAAAGGCAATAAAAAGGTCACACAGGAGAAGGTCTCTCTCTCAGGGGAAGGATGGCAGCGAGTGGTAGCTAAAGGGAATCGTGGCTCTTGTTCTTATCTCTTCAGCTTTACTGCATTTGGCTCTGTGTTTCTTATTTACTAAGACCGTTTAGAATTTCATCTACAGGGACCAAACTCAGGGTCTTACTTAGCAGGGTGAACACTAAAGACAGTCTTAGAAGGAGAAAAAAGAGACAATGGCACATGACTGTGAAGAAATAGAGGCTGAGAATTTTATAAATATGACAATAAGAACAACAAACCGCTCAAATTATAGTTTCCGAATGCTCAAGAAACCCAGGCAGGATGCACACCCAGTGTCCTAGTTAGCTTTCTGCTGGTGTGACAAGGACCATGACTGAAAGCAACATGGAGAGCAAAGGGGTCACTTTAGCCTACTTCCTGGTCACTATGGATCACTGCAGGAAGCCAGGACAGGAACTAACTCAAGGCAGGAACCTTGAGGCAGGAAGTGAGATGGAAGCCATGGAGATGTGCTGTGTGGTCGTATCATGTTCCCCAAAATATTATGCACGCTAATAAACTTATCTGGGGTCACAGAACAGAACAGCCACAATATTAAACATAGAGGATAGGCAGTGGTAGCACACACCTTTAATCCTAGCTTTCCAGAGGCAAAGATCTACCTGGATCTCTGTGTGTTCAAGGATACAGCCAAGCATGGTGACTCATGCCTTTAATCCAGAAAGCGAGCATTTAATCCCAGGGAGTGATGACAGAAAGCAGAAAGGTATATAAGGCGTGAAGTCCAGAAACTAGAAGCATTTGGCTGGTTAAGCTTTTAGGCTTCTAGCAACAGTACAGCTGAGATTCATTCGGATATGAGGACTCAGAGTCTTCCAGTTTGAGGAAACAGGATCAGCTGAGGAACTGGCAAGGTGAGGAAGCTGTGGCTTGTTCTGCTTCTCTAATCTTCCAGCATTCACCCCAATACGTGGCTCCAGGTTTGATTTTATTAATAAGACCATTTAAGATTCATGCTACAGTGCTGCTTGCTTCCCCTGGCTTCCCAGTTTCCTTTCTTATGCCCAGAGGTAGCACCACCACAGTGAGTTGGACCTTCCCATTTCAATCATTAACCAAATAGATAGGAGGTAGGAAGGTAGATAGATAGATAGATAGATAGATAGATAGATAGATAGATAGATAGATAGATTATGCCCTACAGGCTTGCTTACAGGCCATTCTGATAGGGTCATTTTCCCAATTGCCATTTCTTCTTCCCAGATGGCTCTAGTTTTTAATCAAGTCAGAAAAAAAATAAACCACTCAATGACAACAACAACAAGGACACCCATATTAATACCTTTTGGGTTCAAGCAGTAGAACTGCTGGAAAATAAGACAGAGATCATCTTGAAAGGCATTATGCAGAACAAAACACAAATCACATTCAAAGCAGCATCAGAAAAGCTAATGTCTGACTCCTCTTCACAAGGGTGCAGGAGAGGACAGAAGTCACAGCCTTCAGGAGCTCAGAGAAAACAATTAAATTATTCCATTTCATGAGACATAGCTTTCACAGTCTTTCTCAATCAAAGTCAGCCTCCTATTGCATGGGACATGACCATCACAATCAAAGTCAGCCTCCTATTGCATGGGACATGACCATGACAATCCATAGCAGCCTCCCATTGCATGGGACATGACCATCACAATCCATGGCAGCCTCCCATTGCATGGGACATGACCATCACAATCAATGAAAGCCTCCCATTGCATGGGACATGACCATCACAATCAATGAAAGTCTCCCATTGCATGGGACGTGACCATCACAATTCATGGCAACCTCCCATTGTATGGGACGTGGCCTTCCCTGTGGCACAAATCTTAAAAGTTCTTATTAATAAAAACAAACCTGGAGCCAGTTATTGGGGTGAATGCTGGAAGATCAGAGAAGCAGAACAAGCCACAGCCACCTCACCTTGCCAATTCCTCAGCTGATCCTGTTTCCTCAGACTGAAAGCTTCTGAGTCCTCATCCAAAATGGATCTCAGCTGAACTGTGCTGCTCAAAGCCTAAAAGCTTAACCAGGCTCTAGGTCCTGGTCCTCAAGCCTTAAATACCTTTCTGCTTTCTGCCATCATTTCCTGGGATTAAAGGTGTGAGTCACCATGCCTGGCTTTTTCCAGTGTGGCTTTAAACTCACAGAGATCCAGATGGATCTCTGCCTCCAGAAGGCCAGGATTAAATGTGTGAATGCCACCATTTTCTGGCCTCTATGTCTGTCTAGTGGCTGTTCTGTTCTCTGACCCCAGATAAATTTATTAGGGTGCACGATATATTTTTGGGGAACACAATATCACCACACTTCCCAATCAAAGCTGAGAGAGCAACACTTAAAGACAAAAATAGAGAACATGATGTCAGCACATATTTCTAAAATAAATGCTTAAGAGTTTTTGTGAGGGGATAAAAGTGCATAGAACATGATGGCAGCTGACAGGTTAAATATGTGGTGAATTCTCAGTGAGTACTAGTTGGATCAAATGCTGTAATAATGCCTGTTTAAACCAGATATAGAATTGTTTTTTAATAGCAAAAAACAGGAGCATAGGTAAAGAATAAAATATTACGAGGTTCTCACCTGTGTCTGGAAAATAGTAAAATTCTAATTTATATTAGCATTAAGTAAGTCTAGCATTCATATTGTGCTGGTACTATTATAAAGCAATTTCAAAAGAATAATATCTCACAGGTCTATTGATGGAAATAATAAAATGACATAAAACTCTAAGGAGTTAAAACTAAAGGAAACAGAAATATAGACCCAAAGGGAACAAATAAAAACCATATAACAAGACAGTAGATTCTTAAAAAAAAAAATCAGTAATTACATTAAATGCAAATGTATGACTTTAAATTTAAAATATTGTTGGGATCCACAAAAAATAAAACACATTATACTGTGTAAAAAGAAACATATCTAAAATAGGATGCCATAAAACGACAGGGAAATGCTGAAAAAAAGAAAGGTATCCCATGTGCACACTTTCAAAAGAAACTTTGTGTAGTTACACTACTATCAATCAAGTTGACTAAGATGAGAAGCATTACTACAAACAAAAAGGATAGTTCACAGGAAAGGAAGATTTAGTGCCAGGAATGTGTAACAGGGATTCTATGGCTGTATGCAGTTAGCAGCACAAAGTAAAAGGAAAAATAGAACAGTCTTGAATCATAGTGGGAGATTTTAAGAGATCTCTCTTGTCGGCTATAGGACACAGAGGGGTAGTGGGGGGAAGGAGACAGAGACAGAGAGAAATGAGAGACTGAGACATAGACAGAGAGGAGAGATAGACAGAGAGAGGAGACAGAGATAGAGACAGAGAAAGGAGAGAGAGACAGAGACATAGGTATAGAGAGACACAGAGAGACAGACACAATGAGACAGATGGAGACAGAGAGGAAGAGGGAGAGAGAGACAGAGAGACAGAGACAGAGACAGAACTGTTCTATCCATCTATATAGCCCATGAAGCACAATGACTGTCAGGGCAAGATATGCCCAAGCCCATGAGAGTAGATTTTTCTTGTGCTAACCACCAGCCATCTAATTGGACTTAAAGCCCACTCAGTAGGAGAAGATTCATGCCTGGTTTTGTAAACCTAACCAAATACCCATGGCTGGTAAGGTCATAGACCATAGAGAAGAACATGCTGCTATCAGCTCTCTAAACTATTGTGATTACCAACTATATTCTAAGTATCTTTCCTTAAATCCACAGAGGAGTGCAACTTTGACCTCTCATCACAGAAGCTTCTTTTTGTAGCAGACAGAGACATCCCAGAAATGCATAACTGATCAAATTCAGAGAACAACTGACTGTAGGGTGCCCATCGACAACAAAACCCCAACACCCAAAGCTTAGGGAACACTGTAGAAGAGGGCCTGGGAAGATAAGAAGAGCCAGAGGACCAGGACATCTGCTTCCAGATTGTGTCTTCTACAGAAGACAGAGAGTAACACCCATGACATTAACAATATGGTCACCCAAACAAGACTCACACAATGACAACACCAGTTGACATTCCAACATAGATGGAGGACATCTCATAAGACCCCAATCCTGGTGAAGAGCTATGGTCAATTAATGGCTGATAAGAGTGGGTGAATGAGTCTTCTCCAGGGATGAGCCCTCCATTAGGTTATCCAGTCTCATGTGGTCAGCCTTAAATACATAAACATATAGGCAATGCTAATATGGACTCAGCAGGCTATATTTGTTTATATGTATGCATGTATGTGCATATGTACCAATAATAATTAAAGAAGAAGTTGTAAATTTGAGAGGGAGTTTGGGGACACAGGGGTTGTTTGGGAAGGGTGAGTGTAAGTGATGTAAATTCTCAAAATAATAAGTGTAAAAATGTTTTTTTTAAAGACTTTGATTGACATAAGCATTACAACTGCGAACTGAGGAATGAAATCACTTTAAAAGTATACAGGGAATGTTTGCCAAAAATAACCACTTCGAGGTTTTGAAGTAAATTTCAAATGGTTGAAATTATAAAGGATATGTGGGCTTTTAAAGCACAAAGCTACAATAGAGTATATTCCTTTTAGTTTATAATAAATGCAAGAATGGAAGAGCCAAAATAATTGAAAATTAATCAATGCACTTAAAAATAATATACTGACCAAAGGGGATAAAATACAATGGAAATTATGAATGCCTCAGCTCAATAAAACTATAATGGATTTTTGTGTACACTTAAGACCAAGCTCAACATAGATGTAACATCTGTTGAGCGCACATATAAAGTGAAGGCAAAAGCTTTGTATTCTAGGCCTCTGTCTTAAAGAATTTTAAAAGACAGCAAATAATTCACTCCCGCAACGTGCTCCCCAACTGCATACCTGGTGGAATTTATCCACGCTTCGCACATAACCAGCCACGTCATTATCAGATTTGAAGATCTTCCAAACCACTTTTTCAGCCTTTTTATATTGCTGTGCTCCATTCCAATCCATGGCCAGCAAGGAGCGCTCTGTCAGGGCCGCTGCCACGATGATGTCCAGTTGGCCATTGTAAAGCAGAACCTGAAATGAAGTCCAGCCCTCAGCAAGTATGGAATTCAGAGGGGAAAATGAGCAAACTCAGGGACAGAGGGTGAACGTGAGTCAGACTTGGGAACCTGAGCTTTGGAGCCAGTGTCCCAAGAGGCTAGCCTCACAGATCTGAGGCTCCCTTCCTTCCAGGTCGCCACACACACCGACAACCTGAAAGAAACTCTGGTCCTGTCTTAGCCAATGCATCCCTCCAAACTTAATTCATCATAGTCAACAGATAACTGTGTCCCAAAAGATAAGCAAAGAGGCTTTTCTGGACTCTGCACAATGTTGATCTCTTCAGTCTCCAATTTGACTGGAATGGAGCCCTTCGGTTGAGTCCTCAAATTGAATTTCACTGTGGCTGTTCTTTCTGCCTTCGCTATGCAGCCTTCTTAAAAGGTTTAAGCAAATGTCAAAGCCGTGTGTGTGTGTGTGTGTGTGTGTGTGTGTGTGTGTGTGTGTGTGTGTGTGTGTTCATGTAAGCTTGAACAACTCACTTGGCTGTCTAGAGGGAAGTATATTTCAATGGAACCAAGGAATGCTATACTTTGAATTTTACATTGCTTGGGCCTTCTATGTCATTTGTAGCAACTACAGCTTCTTCAAATAGAAAGATAGACAGAAGTTCTCAAGTCTGTTGACCCCGGGACATTGCCAAGACTTCTTTGTTTTACTGTGATGGCCGCTCATCCAGAGCGAGGGGAGTCCTTCCATTCCAGAGCACACCTTTTCCTCCCATATGAATGGATACCATAAAGAATGCTGGGGTGGCTTTTCTTCTCCCCACACAATTCAATAGTTTACATGTCAAGGGGTCAGAGGTATGGATACTTTCTGTTCCCAGTAACCCTATTCTGTCAAATTCACTCTAGAAAAAAAAAATTCATCTAACTATGCTCCTTGAGTTTGATTTATAACCAAGACCATAGTAAAACCCAACATCTTGTAACTGGTGCAGAGCTAAATGCACGGTGGTACAGGACTTCTATGGGATGATGTAAAGTCATGTAAGTATTTGGTTGAGCCATGAAGTGAGGTGGGATATGCTTATCATGGGACTGAAGTGTGAAAGCTGAAAGTCAAACATAAGCCAGATTACAATTCCCTTACTCAACGTACATACAAACACACATATATGAAATGAAAAGTTTGGAAAATAATGTGGTTCATTAATTTCCACAGTGGAGACCTGAGCCACCCCTCCTTTGTTTGACAATCTCCTGACATTGTTCACACGGTAACAAGGTCGTGATGATCATAAAGCATTGCCACTTTGCCTGATCGAGAGGTTTTCCTAGGCTCTGTACAGCTTTGACCTACTCCCTGGCTCAGCCTTGGCCTGAGTGGAGACCTTTGGTTCAGGTCCTCAAATTGGATATCAAGTGTTTGCTACATATGTTTCCAGCTCTGCATGGCACAGCTTCCTAAAAGGCTTAAATGTAATTAAAAAGCCCAGGACTTTGACACGCTCCCAACCCTCAAACAGAGGTGGGATAGGATTCCGGCTAAGATGAAAGCATCCTGGACCTCCACCACAGCAACACTCAGCCTTTCATGTCGCTCAGCCACCACCGCCCCCCTTCTCCTACACAGGAACCCACAGGAAAAAGTCCTTGATGGATTTAAGGCCATTTGTAAAGATTTGACTCAACTGAGCAATAAAATATTTGCATTGTTTATACAAAACACTGCCTCAAAGGCTTCTAGTACTTATGGTCTGTGCAAAGCCTTGTACAGCTGTTTCAGCAAAAAGTATGGAAACAATCACATGTGATGGGTACCAGTGAACAAGGCTCAAATGCTTCACTATTCTAGGAAGGCCTCATTAGGGCTGATTAACAAAGATAATCACATACAAAGTAATTCTCCTCCCAGAGTTCAGTGAAAAGATGCTGATTAATTAGCAATTCGCCAGGTTGTCTGCTCATCTGGGCTGTCCATGGCCATGCTATGAGCTAGCATCTTCTCCCAGATGTGTCCCTGGAAGCTACCTTTTTTTTTTTTTTAAGTCATCACTGTACCTTAGAAGCCAAAGTAAGGTTGTTCCCTTGTTTCTCTTTTCAATCTTAAGGGACAATAACAAAAGTCATAGCTTACAGGCTTGTCTGCACAGTACTGCAGCGTGTGTTTGCTGATCTGAACTGAGACACAGCCCACCCCTGAGCTGATTTCCTTACCATTCCAAACTCTGGGACAAGGTAGTGAGGACCAACATGCACAATTTTGCGTATGAAATGATGTAGGAGACTCACTTTGGGGGGACAATGAATAGCCTTCCTTTTCAAAGCAAGGCACACACTTTTAATTCCTAAAAGGCACACAAATCAAATGCAGCAAAAGAGAAATTAAATAAATGGTTGTGACCATCATGGCTGCCAACGTGGCTTTTTGCTAAAGCATACTTCCACATGCGTCTATGAGGATGTTTCTAGAGACAACTGGCATGTAGGTTAGTGAACTGAGTGAGTCAGGGAACATCTGCCCTGAACATGAATGGTACCCTCCAACAGGAATAACAAAAAGTCAGGAATAACGGAAGCCTGTGAGCCACATGCTCCATCTTCTTCAGCAGATACTGTGTGTTACTGCCATTTCTCAAAGGTTTTCCAGATTCTCCAGGTTTTCAACACACATTCACACCAGTCACACCCTGGAGTTAAGGTGGGTGGCTTCTTGGTTTTTATCAGGCAACCTCTAGACTGAATGAATGGGCAAAAAAAGCCCCGGATGCAGCATCTGTGAGCTGAGAGCCCAAGTAAGTGTAGTCTGGAAGCCATGAGCATGTGCCATTTACTCACATCTAGAGAGATACGGAGATCTCAGGGCCATGCCTGACCCCACACTCCTGCAGACAATGAAAGATGTACACATGCCCCGGCTTTTCCCAGATAGGTCGGCAGGGCTCTAACTCCTAGACTGAGGAGTTTCCCAGGACCAGGCTTGTCAGTGGTAAAGCAGGAGAGTTATGCAAACTTAGATGAAAAAAAAAATGCTTATTGTATAAAAAAATCAATCAAAAATTGCACTCTATTTGTTTATACTCTATAATTGCTGTGTTTTTAAAAACACATGCATGCTTTCAACTTGTGACAAGAATGAGGAAATGTGCTGTCAGTTTCAAGGCAGCCAAAGGATGCTCGATGTGTTTCATAGCTTGGTGTTGAGTGTTTTAGATCACATGGTTACTGTGCTGTCATAATAAAAAAACTGTATCATAGACAGGGACAAAGCGGGTGCCTCGGTTTAACAAAGGATATGACTAAGGAAAGCACTTGCAAACCTCCAATATGACCAGTCCTGTTTCTCATAGCAACTAGATGAAACAGCTTCATTTGGGGTCTTAGACAATCTTGAAACCTCATTCCCAAACCGAAGCATTTAGGAGCAAGAGATCAGGCGATCAGGATGACAATCGCCTTTTCATCTTTGACAAAAAGCAGAGAGGGTGGGCTAGTGAGGTGACTCAGTTGGTAAAGTGACTTGCTACCAGGTTTGACTTTAACCCTTGGAACCCGCATGTGAAAGAAGAGAACTGACTTCATTTTAGAGCTCTCTCATTACATCCACATGTGTCCTGTGGCACAATCATCCACGCGTACACAGGTACACACATACATCTGCCTGCACCCTGAAGGTGTCTATGGCCTTCCTGGGTCTGCTGTGGGATGCCATGAGCTGTCTAAGGAAGGAGCTCTCTATGTGCTTGCTGTACCTACCCCACTCCATACTCCCACAGAATGTATTGATGCTTGGAGGGCGGAGATTCCACTCCACAAAGGTTTTACGTCATGCTATGTGGAACCGTGTGCTGTTTTGTCTCATCAGGTCCACTCTCTTTTCTCTTGGTTACTACTTTTGGTACCCAGTACTCATTGGGCACAGCTCCTCAGAGACTGTCACTCCTGGTTTCCTGCTTCTGCAGGAAGAACGGGTATGTGAATGAGGATAAGGGACTCAAAGCTCTTCCCCTACAATTTGGCTGGTGGGCAAAGGGACACAGGGGACCCGAATAGTATGCAAACCCCCTCTCCTATGTAAGTGTCCCAAACCTCTTTGGTTCCTTTCTTTTCTCATCTCAGTCCTTCACGAGTCCTGAGAATTTGGTGATCCATTAATATCTTTTCATCGATATTCCCATGTTTCCACTGCTAAATGCTGGGAAATCTAGATGCACACAGCACTGGGCCAGTGATGCTCATGTCCATATGCTGAGACTAGGAGCACCAAGATGTGAGCGTTAACTTCACAGAGGTTCTGTTTGCTGTTCTGGGCACAACAGAAGTGAGAGTCAATGAGCGCATTGGCTCCACGCTTCCAACACAAAAACCTGCTGTGCAGTGGTTCAGAGTGGCATCTCCCTCTTATTCAGTTTCCCGATTAGCTTACAACGACTCAAAAGGATCCATGAAGCACTTCTAAAGTAAACCTTCATGACCCATGATGGACTCCCATGTGAGATTCAGACACAGATCTGCGGCAGGAGGACATGTAGCCAGGGTAAGTCTGCACTCACATACCCCAACTCTTGAGAGGGTAGCCAGTGTTCCAATACTTGTTTTATGAAATTGGTCATAACACCTCAGTTTTTCTTGATAGAGCCATAACTTATTAAATTATCGCTCTCAAAGCACTTAGGAGCCTGGAATTCAAGATCACAAGGAATTTCCCAACATTAAATGCCATGCAAGTGTGGTCAATGGTAGTGCTCAACAACAACAACCACAAAAAGTCTTGAATAATACTAGACCCCACTGTTGTTCTGTCGTGGGAGGCATGCTAAGCATCTTACAAAAGGCCCAGAAGGCAGATGTTAGGGACTCCATTTTCAATGCCAGGTGGCAGAGATGCAGAGAGGCATGCCAGCAGACCCATGGTTGTGTGGGGTGCAGAGAACAAAGCCCAAACCATGCTTCTGATAACCCTCTTCCACAGTGCATCACTGTCAAAGGTCTCTGTTTGCAGAGACCAAGTCAAACTCAAGGTAAACA